ACACAATGTTGTAAGAGGCAGAGGTAGTGTCGCATGTGGTAGTAGTAGAGGTAGTGCTGTAAGATCGAAAAAAAAATGTATAATTTTCAAATTTGGTACATAGTAGACACAATGTTGTAAGAGGCAGAGGTAGTGTCTCAGCATTCAGACGAAAATGCTTGTATAGTCCATTTGACGTCGTTTGTGTGTTTTTAATGTTTATGTTTTCTTGGCCAGCGGACTAGCAGTGGATGTAGGTTAAAGTCCACTGTACTAATTCACAGTCCCAATTTTATTTTTCATAATATGTAATCAATTATTATTTTGAAACAAAGGAATATGATATACCAGGGGTAGTTAAATTATATGGATATGGTATTTTTTAATAACAACGCGCACAGTCAACATAGCCCCGCACTAGAGAAACCCTGTGTCGCAGGTGCCATGGACACATACATAGACAACCACAAGGTACACCCAAACTCGCGAGAGAAATAAATGTAGGCCATACAAATATTTCTCCCGGCCCGGGAATCGAAACTGGGACCTCTGCATGACAGTCCATAGTAAACATTCGGCCACGGAGGCAGTTATCGTAAATAAAAAAAAGGTTAGATCCTCATGGCAAGTTGCTCAAAATGCTAGCAGCGTTCACCCTTTGTATGGCTATGTTAAATTGGGTAAGGTAGCCACTAAGGCTTGGGTTTCACATTTGCAACAAATTTTTAATGAAATAAAAATAGTCTTTGATCCAACTTAAACCACACAATAAAAAGAGTGTTGTTTACGACGGCGGCGGTACTCGGGCGATTGTAACTGTTTCCTAGAGATCGAATAATTCGGCGCGTTTACGAAGTGCGATGCGACGCGCAACAGAAGGAAGCAGGCGTTTGACGGCGTTCGCATTTGCGGAGGTCGCTACATGAGACGTATCACATGTGGTGTATGAGATTTGAAATTAGAACGTGGTTTTGATTATAGAACGTTGATGAAGGTTACTTTTTTACTAACTGCGCTGTAACTCAAACGGCTATTACCTTGAATGCTTAAAAGTAATACGCTGTCCGATTAAAAAGTCCTTACTATGTCAAAGGAAAGTTAAAAATGTGTAGAATTTAAAGAGCCTCTTTGCAACTCGCTGATAGAGTATGATATTTGACAATGACGGATGGTGTTTTAAAATTTATTTCAATTACTTTTTCCAGTGTATATATGTATGTTTTAACCGTGAACGGATGTGTTGCTGAAAATTCAAGAGATTCAGCCTTAGGTCGTCTTGCGCAATAAATTCTCGTAGCTAAGTACATTCGTGGACATATTTAGAAAATCACTATAAAAAGGTTGAATTATAATAACAACAAATGACCGACACTGGCCATATATACCAGAACGTTTAAACGAAATTAAAAGATTATAGAAGTTATTCTTTTTTCAAATTAAATGTTCTGATATATTTATTCTATGGTCAGCAATTCCTATGAACATTGTTATCATAATTTTATTGGGCCTTAATTAGCGTTCCTATAAATAAGTAGAATGAAACAAAAGTCTATATATTCTTTTTGTTAGTCGTTACAACAGATATGCAATAGTTATTTGTTATGCAAGGCTGCAAAGTTGTTATTTGACGCGAGTGCTTGTATTGAAACCTGAGCAAGCGAAGGAAGCTAAGATTCGCTTCGCTCGTGATTCAAAAATAGATTCCTGAACGAAGCGAGGGTTTCAACGCACGAGACGCAAAACAACTTTGCTGCCGAGCGAAACACACAACTTTTCACCTCACTATAGCGAGGAAAATGGTAGATAAAAGAAATTCAGTTTTTTAATTAAAAGAAAAAGTTTATTCGGATGCGTTCTGAATTTACACCTCATCATTTTTTATTCTTGCTTGTACTTTTATTTTGTGTGATAAAGTTATTATTGATATCACTTTAGTTCTTCGACGAATTAAAATATTTGAATGAAGACAATTAGTTTCATTGTCAATTTAATGTCAACAATAATAAGAATAAAATATACCGACGGATTTATATTACATAAATAATGTACGACAAATCGTGTAGTTGAAAAGTGCCATTATCTTTTTGTTCATCGAAAGTTAGGTGCACCACAGTCCATCGTCAAGTTGGAATTTCAAATACCTTTTCGGCGCCAGCGAGAAAGAGAGAAAGAAACTCTTTCCGAGCTAGTGAGGTGAAAAGTATATTTACCAAATGACAAGGAAGTAGTACAACATGGAGTGGTTAATACCTCACTCCGAAATTCCGGTATTATGTATTGTATTTTGTACTGTAGTCTAGGCTCTACTCTATGAGTAGAATCACTGGTTGAATGAATAGTTTTGTAATTAGAATGTGTTATAAAAAAGGAAGTAAGAAAAGAATGGAGCATCTTGAGATATTGAATTATAACCCAACGCCGAAAATTTCGAAAGAATACAATAAAGTATATTTTGAAGATTATTCCACTTTAAATTCATAAAAGTACCTCTCGCTACGCAACCCAAGCTACGCCCCAGTTACAGTACATACATACATATCATCACGCCTGTCTCCCAACGGGGTGACAAACCTCCTTCGCCTCCTCTACTCCGATCAATCTCTTCATACATGCCTTTTATTCTTGGTACTTTTAACCCGGCCTTTTTTATGGACATCCTCAATCTGATTGAGATATGTTCACCGAGGTCTACCTCTCCCCACGCTTCCATACACATTTGCGAATGTGTGAATTTGTGCCGTCAGTCTACCAATATTCATTCTTTCTGCATGATCAAATCATCGAAGCATCCCTCTTTCTATCCTTGTCACTACATCATCTTTCCTACCACAACGCTCTCTTACTATACTGTTCGGTACCTTTAAGACTAATACCGAACATACATATTGTATTTTGTAAATCCAGCAATTACTGTACTACAGTAGTGCATTTATTAGAAAATAATTAGACTCATGGACAGATTTAGAGGAATGCTAAAAAAAGGGATTGAATTGTGTTAACAATGTTCATGTGAGCCACTGGCCACATACCAAAATGTTTTTTTTTTAATGGTAGCAAGTAACGGGACAAACAAGTCCTGATTTTGATTGAAATCGGAATTGATTCTATCGGGTACTCTCGAAATCAGATGGGTTTCTGAGCGAGAAGATAAACATGATCCCTATTATATTATATCTTTCTAATTTGTGAATCAAACCAACTATTGTTCCGATTAGAAATGTGAAAAGTTTGCAATCGGCCAGTTGTGAATCGCAATTATGCGCCTCGACTCGGAAAAGACGAAGTTTCAGATAAGAAGAGCTACTCAAAATCAAGCTGCTGAGGGGCACAGCTCCTCCGCCCGTCACCTTGAGATATAAGTTGACAAGTCCCATGTGCCTGTAATTTCACCAGCACCCTTAGCCTTCAAAACCGGAACGCAGTAAAGCTCTCAGGTAAGGTGGCAGTACTTCACTGGACAAACTCATTCACAAGTAGCTCTACTGCTACTAAAATTAAAAAAAAATGTTTGTTTTGAAATGTTTAATTTGAAAAAAGAATGACTTGATTGTCTTTTGATTTCGATTAAAAATTCTGGTGCCTACCTACATGTGGCTAAAGGTTCCTAATGAACATTGTTACTGTAATTGAACTTTTGCTTAACCTTACTCTATTATATTCTGCTTATTTCAGTTGAGATCGAACATACTCTGCACTAACCTATGACAATGCCGTATACAAAATAAAATATAATTATTATATCCGTAGATGAAGATTTTTAGTTTAGTTCTTCGGCGGCAACATAGATGGCGCTAGTAGTAACGTAGCCATCGAGTCTTGAGTTGTAGCTTTTTCACGGTAAAGTCGTGACTACAAACCATTACGTTTGTTACGTATATTTTGTTTCTACATATATTTTACTTTATAGTGTACCTTAAGTCCTAATAATTTTTTACATTAAGAAACAAAAAATATATGTAAAACGTATTTTTAGATTTTAACTCAAAATAAAATTTTCGTCTTCTTTTGTAGCTTCTCTGTATTATTTATACAACTTACGGTTTTTAGATATGATTATTAGTAAATATAAATCTAAAGACGAATATTATAATAATATTTGAAAAGATAAAATTACCGCAATATCTTTTTACTTATTTAAGACAAATGCCAAGAAACGATGTTTGTTTCTTAATGCTGGATTGAATTAATTTAGAAATAAATAATCAATCTATTACAAACGCAGAGACAATTAGGTACTATTTACGGTTACGTAAGATAAATTATTTTATACTTAAAGGATATGTAATGCGTGTTATCAAATGAACATTGTGCGAGTAGAGTAGGTATGTATTGTAATGTAGTTACGACTTAAAGTCATACGAGTATGTGTGGCATAGGTGGATAGAGTTCGACTTGCCCATGTGTTGTTACGTAACGCTTCAGCCTAGTGTTTACAGTGGCCGGCGAGCTTGTCGCCTGTCCCCACTGCGCATCGATCCGCTCCGCCCAGCGGCGGCTCCTCCCACCTGCCGCCCCCGCGCCGCACCGCGCCCCGCGCCCCTTGTCCGCCTGTCGCGCCGCCCGCGCGGTCACCTGTGTCGCACGTCCTCAGTCGCGAAGCGGCCGCGTCGCGCGCCACCCGCCTGCACTATACCGCGATATATTATGACAGTGACGTGATGGAGGGCAAAGACTTCGGTGCAGTTCCCGGCCTACCGGCCGGTTTGGACTATTTTATGATGCCGCGAGTGACCCAGCCTGCTCCACAGTTCGACTTCAGAAAATTAGGCGCTAGTTTCAGCGGTCGGGACGATGACAGGAGTGAGGAGCGGCGATCACCTGAGAGGCTGCCGGAGCGCCGCGAGCCGCCGCCGGCTCCGTGGCCCCTCGGCCTCGGAGTCCAGTTCGTCAACCCCGCTACGGGAAAGAAGAGAGTCCAGTGCAACGTTTGCCTCAAAACTTTTTGCGACAAAGGAGCGCTGAAAATTCATTTTTCTGCTGTGCACCTGCGAGAGATGCACAAGTGTACGGTGGAGGGGTGCACAATGATGTTCAGTTCGCGGCGATCAAGGAACCGGCACAGTGCTAACCCCAACCCTAAGTTACACTCACCACATGTAAGGCGCAAGATTTCGGCCCATGACGGACGAACCGCGCAGCCGTTCCCGTTGCTGCCAGCGCTGGCGCGGCTGCCGCTACCGCCACCCAGCCTGCTGCCGCCGGAGCTGACTGCACGTCTGCCGCCGCCCCTTGTCACTCCTGCTGGTGCTACGCCACTGCCGCCAAGAGTGCCCCTGGACGATCTCCGTAATTTCAGTGAAATTGAAAAGATGTATAGAAAGCTTCCTTTGCCACAGGAATCATCACGTGAAGCCCTGGATCTTGTTAAAACTCCGAGTAACCACGAGGATGAGTCGATTAATTACAGTGACAACAATGATGATCTTTCTGATGACGAAAGAAAGGACAACTGTGGAGATCAAGTGAACTTGACTGTTACTGAAAGGCTGAATTACGATGATGAGCCAGAGGATTTAAGTGTAAATAAAAAGAAAGAGGAAAACGGTGATACCAAACCTGTAGTGAAAAGTGAAGTCCAATCAGGTGCTGGAAGCCGAGCCGACCCCACCGTCTCAGAAGATAAGTTATCTTTGGTTCCTAATAAACGAAAAAGAAAGAGCGGCAATCCCACCCGGTGTTCACAAACTAATGAATATAACGCGTCTGATGAAGAATACCAAACAGATGTATTTAGAAACATCTCTACACCTAGTTCGAGTCGCGCGGACGATGAACCTTTATCATTGAAAAAACAGAAACCCGAAAAATGGGAGCCCTTTCAGAACGGTGACGAAGTTGTTGTGGACGCGGAATCGGTAACTCGAGTTAAACCTGAAAGTGAATCAGATGATGAATCTAGCGCTCCGAGCGTAGTTCGCGAAGGCTTACGACTGCGTTCTGACCTGTATACACCGAGCGACAGCGGGAGCGACATGCATACAACGGAAGATCGATTAGCTCGAGCACGGACACCCTCCGCTAGCAGTGACAGGACCGACGACCGAACCGATCTGAATGATCTCGAAATCCCGATCGATGATGAAAACCCCGATCGATGTACTGCATGTGGAAAAGTTTTTCAAAATCATTTCACACTACGAATGCATTATAGAAATGACCACTTAAAGCTGCTTCACCCCTGCGACATCAACGGTTGTGATGCTGCCTTCCCTTCCCGGAGGAGTCGAGATAGACACAGCTCGAATGTTGACTTACACCGACGACTATTGTCAACAGGCTCTACTAATGCTCGGGAACAACGACCTTTTGAAGTCAATACTGAGTTGTTGAATAAATTATATGCAGACATAAAAGGTCTTGCCACTACGCTTGAGAGCTTGCGATACGGAGGCGACGACACCTCCCAATTACCCAGCTATGTTACGGAAACAATGAAGTTTTATACCAGAAATTTAAGCGCATTGCAATCGGGAATTTTTCCACAATTTGGTGAGCGGGGGTTTTTTCCGGCCCCTTTTCTGATGGGTAACGGGGCTCCTCAACCGGGCGGGGGACCCTACGGGGCTCCGGCCGGCGCCCAGTCAGCCCGCGAGTCGCTGTCACCACTGTCGGCGTCGTCGCCGCCGGTTATCTCGCCAGGGCGGCTGGATGCGGCGCACGCGCGCCCGCGTGATGACGCCAAACTGCTTTTTCGCGAGACCTCAGAGTCATTCAAGAAGATGACTTCGCTTTGCGAGCGCCAGGAGCAGCTGTACCAGCACCACGTGCCGGTGTCATGACGCAGTCGCTACGCCCCCCGCTCGTCGTGGTGATACTCACTCCTTGAAGCTTATGGCGCGCGACTTACAGACTCTCTGTATATTTAATTGTTAATAATTTTAATTGTGTTAATTCTATTTCGTATTTCGTTTTGTATTTTCTTGTGATATTTAGACAAATATATCGTAATTATCGATCCCACGAACTGTAAGTTATTAGGGATAGAACCGCTTCGGTATTGAGTTGACGTGGAGAAGCGAAGTGCAATACGGACTCGAATATAATAAATATTAATGGACGCGGCGGCGTACGATATGATATCGTGTAGAGTATTCGTAATCGATGTTGAAAGTAAACGTTATAATGATCAGCTTCATTTATTGTTCTGGCGCAATAAACTCATTGAGGAAAAAAATGACGATTGTTTTTATTTCCACCGCCTCGGTAAGTTGTATGTCGAATTGGGAAGTATCGATCTGGTTACGGCTTATTAATGGTAATGTTTAGTTTGACATCACGGCGTTTTGTGTGGAGCCGTTCAACTGGAAACTAAATAATCATCTGCCTAAACACTTTTTGTGCTTTCGTTAACATTGTTATTACTTAACCCACTTAACATTGGATAGATGGCTTAATTATCTTTCTTTCAACTATATTACAAATGCATTTACAAAAACAATGCTTAGTATACATAGATTTTGGACATTTGAAATACAATCGAGTAACAAAATAAATGTCGCGGGAGATGACATAATAAATTTCAAAATTCAATTTATACGTATGAATAAATCATATTGAAAACAAGTTTGTGAGTAATTTTAAAACACTGGGTATGAAATACCAGTAGCCTCTGAATAATTTACACGAGTAATATATTCATAATTTTGATTCCGCTATTTAATACGTTCATTAATATAAAACAGAATAAATAATTTCATACATTGTTAGAAATTGGATGATGATTCTAATCAGTCTAAACGGAATAACAATATCGAAGTAGCTTGAACTGAATATAAAATTGATCAAGAAGTAAATTAGTGAGAACTCATTAATACTACGAGCTCTAGGACGCTTTCTTTGATCTATCAAAGATATTATTATATCTCTATTAGTTTAGTTTAGGAATAGTGCAATAAATAATAAAATTGCTTTAAAGAAAACGCCGACAAATAAAAATGCTAATGAAAAATCTTTAAATAGATCGAATGTGAGAACTCTCTCAGAAATTTGTTAATGATAGAAAGAAACTTAAAAAAAAAAAACAAAATTGTATGAAAGTACAAGTGACGGAAATAGGCTTTTTAAAAATGCAAAAACTAAAATTTGATCGGAACGGAAACATATTGGCAAGAAATAAACAAAAATGTTCGTATTTCCACTATATATTTGGCTGTATTAACCTGTATTTAACGCGCAAAAACATGCAGTAATGTAAGGGCGGCAAAGTTCTTTATGTTACAGAATTGAAAAAATAAAGTCTCTGCATTTTAATTTAATATTTACCTACACAGAGACACTACTGCCTAGATTTAGAAGTCTCTTGGTCGCTTTATATGACACACTACACATGGGCACTCAATTAAACATGTACAATACTAAGAACAATTGGACAGTAATTGTATAGAATGCTTTGCCCTTTGAATATAAAAATATTACGAACGAAAAAATTTGTCTTCAATCAAAAAGCGTCAAAACTATTAGGCAGGCACTTTAAGCGTTTATTTGACCAAGTTTGACCTCGGTGAAAAAAAAAAAACTCGTTCGTAGTATTTATTAAAGTCTCATGTCCGCCGTGGGAAACCGCGTTAATTGTTCAAAACTGTTATGATTTAATAACAGGGTGACGTTCACATGCTAATTCGGACAGATTCTCGGATGCAGCAAAAAATACTGCCATTACCAACTATAATTTGACTTTGTATAGTATGTTGTTATATTGATTGGTTTCAATATTTAGGACATTTCTGTTCTAGGCTTTTATTAGAGTCAATTATATGAAGACCGCCTTGTTATACTGATTAAATTGAAAGTAAAGTAAAAGGATGTGATTCTTCTATATGAAAGTTTAAGATACGGTATTTCAGTGATCTCAATAACAAGAGAATAGCCAGATAAGTTGACAAATCCTACATGCCTGTAATTTCACTAGCACCTTTACCCTTCAAAACCGGAACACAGTAAAGGTTACATTACTGCTTGGCGGCTGAAATAGGTTTCCCTGGATGAACTCTTTCGCAAGGAACTCTACTGCTGCTAAAACGTTTGCTGCTAAGTTCGATGCGTCGATGCTGCATCATTTCATCTAGGTTTTGGTGAGGTGATATGGCAATCGGCTTTTCGAGCAACACGTACGTGTTTTGGTCAATTATGTACCTTCTTACAACAGTCTTAAGTTTTAATTATTTTATTTTTGTACTAACAAGTGGATACAAGGCGTCTTAATAAAAGATTTAGTAGCAGTAGAGATCCTTGTGAAAGAGTTCGTCCAGGGAAGTGCTGCCACTTTAACTATTTCTGCCGCCAAGCAGTAATATCAGCATCACCGTGTTCCGCTTTGGAAGGGTAAGGGTGTTGGTGAAATTACAGGCACATGGGACTTGTCAACTTATGTCTCACGGTGACGGGCGCAGTGGTAGTGCCCCTAAGACCTTTACGATTTAAATTTCTGAGTGGCACTGCAACCGTTATGGACAGGCGTGTCGCTTGCCACCAGGCGCACGACTTGTTTGTCTGGTCACTTGGTATTATTAAAAAAATATTATTATCTATGTAATGTAATAAAAGGTTTTCACCAAAAAAGGTTAGCAAAATAAGAAACGGGACTAGCCACAATCTCAGCTTGCAAACAAAAATGTTTTAAAATTGGGTCTGCGTCGAGTTCGTTGGTAGTACATACTTATTACACCATATCATCGACTTGCCTGCGATATTTGTTCTCCAACTAAAGTAGTAGATATTGAAAGGAAAATGGTTTTTGATAGTAGCATTTGTTGCGTACTTTAGCATCGGCTTATCATTTTGAAATATCTACAGCTTGCCACTGGTATAAATGGGTGTGGCTTATAGACATGGATTTAATAAAAACATACAGCATCATTACATCTATACGTAATATAGAAATAAAAATTTAATTTAAATTTTTCTTATAATTCTTCTTCTTAGCGAGTTGATGGCTTAGTTTTTTTAATTATCCCAAGTAACGGAACGAATGAGTCGTAGACCTGGTGATAAGGGATACGCCTGTCCTTAACAGTTGCAGTGCTACCCAGAACTTTAAATTGCAAAGGTTTGAGGGGCACTGCAACTGCACCCGTCACCCTGAGACATAAGTTGACAAGTCCCATATGCCTGTAATTTCATCAGCACCCTTAATTTACCCTTCAAAACCGGAATGCAGTAAGGCTTACATTAGTGCTTGGCGGCAGAAACAGGTGAGGTTGCAGTACTTCCCTGGACGAAGTCTTAGTTAGCTATTATACAGAAATCTATGTTTTATTTCTACATTAGTAACAACCTGTATTTCTTTCGTCCTGCAAATGATTCCATTTTTTCCGAACGTTAATAACAGGTTTTAAAATGACGAATACAAAACGTTTTGACTGTCATTTGTACGAATAATTAATGGTTTGCACTAGTGGCATCACTGTGGTTAACCTACATATGAAGACCTGGGGTTTTATAAAATATTATTGCGATTCTGGAGTCTTACACAGTATGTGATAGATTCAATTAGATCATTTCATTGTATTAGATACCAGAGAGAGAGAGAGGACACCTGTATATATCTACAATTTAAATGATGTGTGTGAAGTTCGCAATCTGCATTGGGAGCTATTAGCTCAAGCCCTCTCATTGTTTGCAAAAGAGGCCTTTGCCCGCCTGTGGGATTACATATATATAGGCTAACTATTATTTATCCAGGTCTTAGGTTTTCGCGATTGGTACACAAAGGAAATGAAACTATTTTTTCGGATGTAAAGTAAAGGCCCGAAACGTTGGTTTGTTTGAAAATTTAGATTTTTCGCGATTTAGATCTGAAAAAATTGTTTCATTTCGTACATATTTTTTTATTTATTGTTATTTGTGTCAGTATTAGTTTGGACGTAAGGGATGTTACAGTTTCTTAGGATAGTGGTAAGTAATAATTACGTGGACAAAATAAATTTAATTGAAACAACACTTTTTTCACCAAAATTAGCATATTATTTACTTTTTTGAATGTCAAACTCTTATTAAAAGTTTTAAATTTTTTTTTAACAGATTGGTACGATTAATTAAGAAGCAAGTAGTAAAGCGTTCAGCAGTCAGAACTTGTTGGCTTAGAGTAACAACAATTAATCAGTGAGTGCTTAATATTATTTTCATAAACGACCATGCCCAACACTAGAACATAATATTTAGGTTAATGTACTATAGTACCCTCTAACCATCTATTCAGAATCCGCAAACAAACATTGTGTACACAGTTATTAATAATTCGTCGGAATAGAAACAGACACAGCCCCAGGGTGCTAAGTTAGTTTGTAGTCGCAGTTTATTAATTAGGGCTTGACAAACTATGCGGTTGGCCCGCGGGGCAATCTCAGTTTTGGCAGGACAAACGTTACTTATGTATGTTGACACAGAATAGGCAATGTTTTGATGGTAGCACCGTTAAAATGGCTATAAAATATTTTGTTGATTAGTTTTGATTTTTATATTTATTAATATTTACAAAGGTCAAACACTCAGAAAAAAATCCTTCGATCCGGCCGGATTCGAACCGACGTCTTCTAGCATACCGTGTCCGATGCTATACCAACTAAGCCACGGAACGAACCAGAGGACCTTACGTATTTTTCTATGTGCTTGTTGTCATATATTTGTATTTGGTTTTTGAACGACTTTTTACAGAAGGCTATTCTTAGTTTTGGCAGGACAAACGTTACTTATGTATATTGATATAGACTAGGTAATGTCTTGGAAATTAGTACAGGGTGCATACTTATTTTATTGAATATCATGATGGTTTTGCACAACTAGTAACAGACGTAAAACATCTTGCATTGAGCGGGATTTGTTTTTACGGAACTGAGTAGCAGTAGAGCTCCTAGTCAAAGACTTCTTCGAGGGTAGTCTGCCACCATAACTATTTTTGCCGCCAAACAGTAGTGTCAGCATTACAGTGTTTCAGTGGTGAAGGGTAAGAGTGCTGGTGAAATTACAGGCACATGGGACTTGTCAACTTTAGCGAGTATGTCTCAGGGTGACGGGCGCAGTGGTAGTGCCCCTCAGATCTTTGCAATTTAAAGCTCTGTGTGGCACTGTAACTGTTATGGACAGACGTTTGGCTTACCATCAGGCGCAGGACTTGTTCGTCCCGTCACTTGATGATATAAAAAAGGGGTAATCTTAATATTTTAG